CCCCAACTTTAAATGTTTTAAAAATCTTTTGGAAAAATTACAAAATACTGTCTAAGACCTACTTTTAATGGGAAGAAATTTCCCCCTCTTTTTCTACAAAAACCCTCCTGAGCCCATTTTTTTCATAAAAACTTTTCAGCATGTACAACCCAATAATTTTATTTTTTTCTTTTTTTACCCACACGGGCCCGGGATTCCCCCAAGGGCAGGGGGGGCCTGAAAAAAAAAAAATTTTTCACCATCATTAACTATCACTGTCTTGCCGAAGGGTGTTTTTTAACAAAAAATTTTTTAAAAATTCCCAACTTTAACCCCCCTCCTTAAAGATTTGCAGGCCCCTGTATTTCCCCATCTCCAGGCTCAAGCCCGGCCCCTGCCGCGTTTCCCTAAAACCCCCCTTCATAAATGTTATTTTTGCTCAAAACCCCCAAAACGGGCACGTAAAGTATTAAAAACCTTTTGTCCCCTTTCACCCCCTATCAAACATCCCTCACGCATGCCTGCTGGAAGTCCAAGCCCCTCGCACACAAAACCTCCTTTACCCCCTCCCTCCAACCCTTCCTAGGCCGCCCCCTACCCCGCCTTCCTTCCACTACAGACTGATACACTCTTGAAGTCATTCTGTTTCGCTCCATTCTCCTACATGCCCCGAACCACCTCAACAACCCTTCCTCAGCCCTCGGGACAACAGTTTTGGTAATCCCGCCCCCTCCCCTAATTTCCCAAACTACAAATTCTCTGCATTAATTCACACCACACATTGCCCTCGGGGAACTTTGACATCTCCACTGCCTCCAGCCTTCCCCCTGCTTGCAACATTCACCCACGCATCACACCCATATAAGAGCGTTGGTAAAACTATACTCTCAACATTCCCCTCTTTGCCTCCAAGGTCAAAGTTCTTTTTTCTCCACAGACTCCTAAGTGCACCACTCACTCTTTTTCCCTCATCAATTCTATGATTCACCTCTTCTTTCATAGACCCATCCGCTGACACGTCCACTCCCAAATATCTGAATACGTTCACCTCCTCCATACTCTCTCCCTCCAATCTGATATTCAATCTTTCATCACCTAATCTTTTTTTTAAATCCTATAACCTTACTCTTTCCTGTATTCACCTTTAATTTTCTTGTTTTGCACACCTACCAAATTCATCCACCAATTCTGCAACTTCTCTTCAGAATCTCCAAGAGCACAGTGTCATCAGAAAAAGAGCAGCTGTGACAACTCCCACTTTGTGTGTGATTCTTTATTTTTTAAATCCCACCCCCCCTTGCCAAGACCCTGGGCATTTACTTCTCTTACAACCCCATCTATAAATATATTAAACAACCACGGTGACATCACACATCCTTGTCTAAGGCCACTTTTACTGGGAAAAAAATTTCCCTCTTTCCTCAATAAATCTAACTTGAGCCTCACTATCCCGTAAAAACTCTTCACTGCTTTCAGTAACCTACCTCCTACACCATACACTTGCAACATCTGCCACATTGCCCCCCTATCCACCCTGTCATAACGCCTTTTCCAAATCCATAAATGCACAAAGACCTCTTTAGCCTTATACTAAATACTGTTCACATTATATGTTTCACTGTTAAACACCTGGTCCACACACCCCCTACCTTTCCTAAAGCCTCCTTGTTACTGCTATCCTATTCTCCGTCTTACTCTTAATTCTTTCAATTATAACTCTACCATACACTTTACCAGGTACACTCAACAGACTTATCCCCTATAATTTTTTGCACTCTTTTTTATCCCCTTTGCCTTTTATACAAAGGAAACTATGCATGCTCTCTGCAATCCCTAGGTACCTTACCCTCTTCCATAAATTTTAAATAATTGCACCAACCACTCCAAAACTATATCCCCACCTGCTTTTAAACATTTCTATCTTTATCCCATCAATCCCGGCTGCTTACCCCCTTTCATTTTATCTACTGCCTCACGAACTTCCCCCACACTCACAACTGGCTCTTCCTCACTCCTACAAGATGTTATTCCTCCTTGCCCTATACACGAAATCACAGCTTCCCTATCTTCATCAACATTTAACAATTCCTCAAAATATTCCCTCCATCTTCCCAATACCTCTAACTCTCCATTTAATAACTCTCCTCTCCTATTTTTAACTGACAAATCCATTTGTTCTCTAGGCTTTCTTAACTTGTTAATCTCACTCCAAAACTTTTTCTTATTTTCAACAAAATTTGTTGATAACATCTCACCCACTCTCTCATTTGCTCTCTTTTTACATTGCTTCACCACTCTCTTAACTTCTCTCTTTTCTCCATATACTCTTCCCTCCTTGCATCACTTCTACTTTGTAAAAAATTCTCATATGCTAACTTTTTATCCCTTACTACTCTCTTTACATCATCATTCCACCAATCGCTTCCTCTTCCCTCCTGCACCCACTTTCCTGTAACCACAAACTTCTGCTGAACACTCTAAACACTACATTTTAAAACCTACCCCATACCTCTTCGACCCCATTGCCTATGCTCTCATTAGCCCATCTATCCTCCAATAGCTGTTTATATCTTACCCTAACTGCCTCCTCTTTTAGTTTATAAACCTTCAACCTCTCTCTTCCCTGATGCTTCTATTCTCCTTGTATCCCATCTACCTTTTACTCTCAGTGTAGTACAACTAGAAAGTTATCTGATATATCTGTGGCCCCTCTATAAACATGTACATCCTGAAGTCTACTCAACAGTCTTTTATCTACCAATACATAATCCAACAAACTACTGTCATTTCGCCCTACATCATATCGTGTATACTTATTTATCCTCTTTTTCTTAAAATATGTATTACCTATAACTAAACCCCTTTCTATACAAAGTTCAATCAAAGGGCTCCCATTATCATTTACACCTGGCACCCCAAACTTACCTACCACACCCTCTCTAAAAGTTTCTCCTACTTTAGCATTCAAGTCCCCTACCACAATTACTCTCTCACTTGGTTCAAAGGCTCCTATACATTCACTTAACATCTCCCAAAATCTCTCTCTCTCCTCTGCATTCCTCTCTTCTCCAGGTGCATACACGCTTATTATGACCCACTTCTCGCATCCAACCTTTACTTTAATCCACATAATTCTTGAATTTACACATTCATATTCTCTTTTCTCCTTCCATAACTGATCATTTAACATTACTGCTACCCCTTCCTTTGCTCTAACTCTCTCAGATACTCCAGATTTAATCCCATTTATTTCCCCCCACTGAAACTCTCCTACCCCCTTCAGCTTTGTTTCGCTTAGGGCCAGGACATCCAACTTCTTTTCATTCATAACATCAGCAATCATCTGTTTCTTGTCATCCGCACTACATCCACGCACATTTAAGCAACCCAGTTTTATAAAGTTTTTCTTCTTCTCTTTTTTAGTAATTGTATACAGGAGAAGGGGTTTACTAGCCCATTGCTCCCGCATTTTAATCGCCTCATACGACACGCATGGCTTACGGAGGAAAGATTCTTTTCCACTTCCCCATGGACAATAGAAGAAATAAAAAAGAACAAGAGCTATTTAGAAAAAGGAGAAAAACCTAGATGTATGTATATATATATATGCATGTGCGTGTCTGTGAAGTGTGACCAAAGTGTAAGTAGGAGTAGCAAGATATCCCTGTTATCTTAGCGTGTTTATGAGACAGAAAAAGAAACCAGCAATCCTACCATCATGCAAAACAGTTACAGGTTTTTGTTACACACACACACACACACACACACACACACACACACACCTCTCAGTTTTCTTCTATTTTCTTAATAGTTCTTGTTCTTATTTATTTCCTCTTATCTCCATAGGAAAGTGGAACAGAATTTTTCCTCTGTAAGCCATGCATGTCATAAGAGGCGACTAAAATGCCAGGAACAAGGGGCTAGTAACCCCTTCTCCTGTATATATATGTATTACGAAATTCAACAGGAGAAACTTTCATTTTTCCATTTTGGCCACCCTGCCTTGGTAGCATTTAGCTGGTTTGTTGATGTTAAGTAAAAGGACACGTGAAAATAGACATTTTATCATGGCAACGTTTCACTTTCCAGGAGCTCCTGGAGAGTGAAACATTGCCACAGTTAAATGTCTTATTAGTTGCACATGTCCTTTTACTTAATATTTCAAATATTAATTGAAGCCTTTATAACTTATCTGGGTCTGTAAGTTAGTGTTCTTGATTCATCATTTTAAGCCGAGATAAAGGTATAATAAAGGATTACTGTATAACAGCACCTGATTAGGCTCATGTTCACCACAAAATTTGGACAGCAAGAAACTAATAAAGGGGAAAGATATTGAGGTTAAGGCAAAGATTGGATTTTTTTTTTTTTGGGGGGGGGGGATTAAAGTGTTGTATACACTGTTGAATGACAAGTCAATAACTACTATGAGGGAAAAAATGAAACAAGAGGTGTCCATCAGCCTCAGTCAGTCAGACCTGCTGAAGGTCTCTAAGGTTGAAATATACAATTTTCTCTTACCTGCATTTCATTTTTTTTATTCAAGTAATTTGCTACATTTCTTGGGTTGCTAATACTGTTTTTCATTTTCAACTCTTAATGTTTATTAACACTAGAGAGGAATACTAATAGGTGTCCTCACCTGGGTACACTGTACCTGGTCAGAACACACGTTAAAATATAATCTTTCTAATCAGAATGTATTGTTGATAATTGAAGAACATATAAACTAACACTCATCGAAATGAATGTGAGAATTTTCAGTTCTGTTTCACCACCCACACCTGTGATTACTTCACTAGGGTTAATAGTCTACCACTTGGCCACTGCTTTGTTAATTCTGAATTATCTTTATACATTACTGTATATACAGTAGGCATCACTGAACACATAGTTCAGTATTATATATTTAAAACAATAGGTTATGGTGAGCAGTTTAGTTTTCTCTGTGATCTGTTTATGCTTGTGTATATTCACATGACGCCTGCTGTACGCCAAATTTTATTAGCATTTTCTTCCAGGAAAGATAAGAAGAGGTTCTCGGAATGGAGGGCCAAAGAAACCTGCAGGTGCCCCCACAAAGTCAGGTGCTCGGGCAAAGACCAAAAAGCCAATTCCTCTGGTATGTCTGTTTACTGTTGGTTTGATTCCCCTTATCTTTTTCTTATTATAATTATAATTGAGTGACATGGATGTCCACTGTGTAGTTGTTCCTTTTATTAATTCTAACTCCGATTGAGGTGAGGCACATGAAGAAAAATTATTTAAAAACTTGTATATTTTCTTACCACTAAGTTCTATGTGACAAATTTCAGATTCATCAGGGTACGTCTATTCAATGTAGAATACTGTTGTAATAAAGTTGGTAGAATTACCGACAATATGTGAAGTAAATGGACACAAGTGCAACTAATGTGACATTTATTGTGGCAACGTTTCGCTCTCCAGGAGCTTTATCAAGCCATTACAAACAATACATGGACACAGAGGGTATATAAAGGCTCAGAGTGAGGTGCATTACTTGTGAGGTAACATTCCGATGTCTTAGCAAGAATCCTCCTGAAAACAGTAAACCCTGCCATCACATAGTCTCTCCTGTTATACTACACAAAGCACATTACGGAGAGTGTACACTGAAACAAGCTGCCTCTTTCCAGTCTATATTTGTCCAACCTATTTTTATGTTACCCAAGTAATAGCTTTTATATCCTTTTACTCTTGTACGAATTAATTGCTCTTTCATATTGTATTACTTTTGTCACTACTACTACTACTACTACTACTACCACTATTGAACATTGAAATGTTACCTCACAAGTATTGCACCTCACTCTGAGCCTTTATATACCCTCTGTGTCCATGTATTGTTTGTAATGGCTTGATAAAGCTCCTGGAGAGCGAAACGTTGCCACAATAAATGTCACATTAGTTGCACTTGTGTCCTTTTACTTTACATAGAATACTGTTAATGCTATTGTCCTCTGGGTATATTGATATTGAGTTTAACAAGTTACAGTGGAACCTTGGTTTTTGTTTGCTCTGGTTTTCGTCGAACTTGGTTTTCGATGACATTTTTCGTCAAAATATTGTCCCAGTTTTCGTTCATCACCTTGGTTTTTGTTTGCCATATGGAACATGCCCACACCCACACAAAGCATCCCACGCATGCATTCTGGGTCAGTCTGGCTTCGTTCCTTGTCAAGTGAACATTACCCTGCACATTCATACGAAGCATTTCATAATAATCGATTGTCTTTTGTGCTTGTTTATTGAGTGCGACTGCTAAATAAATCGTGAGAAGCACGATAGAATTCAAGACAGAACTTGTAGAATGACCTGCAAAGTTTTGTAGAGAAATATCACTACCATCCTCTACAAAGGTAGAGGATGGTAGTGATTGTGGTAGAGGGTGGCAGTGATGGTGGTAGAGAGTGGCAGTGATAGTGGTAGAGGGTGGCAGTGAGGGTGGTAGTGATGGCAAACAATCGAAGATGTTGAGAAGTTGTTGGTATGGATCAACAAAAAAGTTAGCAGGAGATAGTTGTGGAGGCGATAATTTGCGTTAAGGCACAGCAGTTGCATGCGGATCTTGTAAAGAATATGCGAACAAAAGTCTTCAATAAAGGTAAAACTGATTTAAATGTTCATATATCCATTAAAATTAGTGCATTATATTTATTTCTCATTGTTTTCTGTGTGTGAAACTATAGTTATTTTCTAAAATGTATTTTTTGTTCAAATTTTTGGGTGTCTGGAACAGATTAATTGGATTTACATTATTTCTTATGGGAAACATTGCTTTAGTTTTCATCAAATTTGGTTTCGTCAGGGTCTCTGGAATGAATTAAAAACAAAAACCAAGGTTCCACTGTATGTTAAATCTAGAAAAAAATTTTGTTAGGATCATGGAAAGACATTCTCACCATTTAAGATTTAACAGACAATTGCCATTAAAGGACATCCTCTCCCCCTATTACTACGTGAAGTTTCTCTGTCATCAGATAAAGTATACCCTGTTTGTCTTTCTTGGCTGCACTATCATTATTACCCTGATCCAAAAATGTTAGTTTAGAAAGAGTATACAGGTCTCCCTCCACATTAGCAATTTCCATTTGTGGGCTTTGAACATTTGCGAATGCCCAGCCACCCAATCATATTTAAAATGTCATTACATATGTTAGAAACTGTGGCGGCAGCAGAGTTTGTTTGGAGACAGGACAAGATAGTCCTTCAATATGACACTAGTATCAACTCTACAGCTTATTTATCCATCACAATTGATCTAATATGATATAATAAACAATATTAATAACAGAGAGGGAGACTACTTCCCGGTAAAAGTAGATCTTAGACAGGGATGTGTAATGTCACCATGGTTGTTTAATATATTTATAGATGGGGTTGTAAAAGAAGTGAATGCTAGGGTGTTCGGGAGAGGGATGGGATTAAATTATGGGGAATCAAATTCAAAATGGGAATTGACAGTTACTTTTTGCTGATGATACTGTGCTTCTGGGAGATTCTAAAGAAAAATTGCAAAGGTTAGTGGATGAGTTTGGGAATGTGTATAAAGGTAGAAAGTTGAAATTGAACATAGAAAAGAGTAAGGTGATGAGGGTATCAAATGATTTAGATAAAGAAAAATTGGATATCAAATTGGGGAGGAGTATGGAAGAAGTGAATGTTTTCAGATACTTGGGAGTTGGCGTGTCAGCGGATGAATTTATGAAGGATGAGGTTAATCATAGAATTGATGAGGGAAAAAAGGTGAGTGGTGCATTGAGGTATATGTGGAGTCAAAAAACGTTATCTATGGAGGCAAAGAAAGGAATGTATGAAAGTATAGTAGTACCAACACTCTTATATGGGTGTGAAGCTTGGGTGGTAAATGCAGCAGCGAGAAGACAGTTGGAGGCAGTGGAGATGTCCTGTCTAAGGGCAATGTGTGGTGTAAATATTATGCAGAAAATTCGGAGTTTTTCTTCTTCTCTTTTTTAGTAAATGTATACAGGAGAAGGGGTTACTAGCCCATTGCTCCCGGCATTTTAGTCGCCTCATACGACACGCATGGCTTACGGAGGAAAGATTCTTTTCCACTTCCCCATGGACAATAGAAGAAATAAAAAAGAACAAGAGCTATTTAGAAAAAGGGGAAAAACCTAGATGTATGTACAGTGGACCCCCGCATAGCGAACGCCTTGCATAGCGAACAATCTGCATAGCGAACAATCCGCATAGCGAACGCTTTGTTCGCTAAAATTTTGCCCCGCATAGTGCACAAAAACCCGCTCAGCGACCTTCGTCCGAGACGCGTCCAATGTGCGCCCTCAGCCAGCCTCACATGTGCCGCCCGTCCCATTGTTTACCAGCCAGCCTCCGCGGTAACATTCAAGCATACACTCGGAATATTTCGTATTATTACAGTGTTTTCGGTGCTGTTTGTGGAAAATAAGTGCCCATGGGCCCCAAGAAAGCTTCTAGTGCCAACCCTACACCCCAAAGGAAGAATACCCATTGAAATGAAGAAAGAGATCATTGATAAGTATGAAAGTGGAGTACGTATCACCGACCTGGTCAGGTTGTACAAGAAACCAAAATAAACCATCGCTTCTATTGTGGGAAAGGGAAAACGGCAATCAAGGAAGCTGTTGTTGCCAAAGGTTTAACTGTGTTTTCGAAACAAAGATCGCAAGTGATGGAAGATGTTGAGAGACTCTTATTGGTGTGGAAAAAATGGAAAAACAGCTAGCAGGAGATAGCGTCTCTCAAGCGATCATATGTGAAAAGGCTAGAAGTTGCATGACGATTTAATTAAAAAATCCTGCAACTAGTGTTTGATGTGAGTGAATTTAAGGCCAGCAAAGGTGGTTGAGAGATTTAAGAAGCATAGTGGCTTTCCATAGTGTGATACGGCATGGTGAGGCTGCCAGTTCGGACCAAAAAGCGGCTGAAAAATATGTGCATGAATTCAAGGAGTACATAGAAACTGAAGGACTGGAACCTGAACAAGTTTTTAAAATTGTGATGAAACAGGCCTGTTCGGAAGAAAATGCCAAGCAGGACCTACATTACTCAGAGGAAAAGGCACTCCCAGGACATAAGCCCTATGAAAGACAGGCTTACTTTGTTGATGTTTTGCCAATGCTAGTGGTGATTGCAAAGTTAACCCTTTTTATTAGTGTATCACTCTGAAACCCCCAGAGCGTTCAGGCAAAAGAATGTCCTCAAGGAAAATTTGTGTGTGCTGTGGAGGGCAAACAGTAAGGCATGGGTCACTAGGGAATTTTTCTATAACTGGTTACACCATGAAATTTCCCCCCAATGTGAAAGATTACCTAACTGAAAAAAAATTTAGACCTTATGTGCCTCCTGGTTTAGACAATGCCCCTGGTCATCCTACAGACTGGCAGAGCGACTTTATGGGGACATGAGGTTCATTAAGGTGAAGTTTTTGCCCCCTAATACCACTCCTCTCCCTGCAGCCCATGGACCAGCAGGTCTTTTCCAACTTCAAAACTGTACACAAAAGCTCTGTTTCAAAAGTGCTTTGAAGTGACCACAGACACTCGATTGACTCTAAAAGAGTTTGGAAGGATCACTTTAATATCCTCAATTGTGAAAACCCTTATAGGTAAGGCTTGGGAGGGAGTGACTAAGAGAACCTTGAACTCTGCTTGGAAGAAACTGTGGCCAGAATGTGTAGACAAAAGGGATTTTGAAGGTTTGAGGCAACCCTGAGAGGAGTAGTATACCAGTTGAGGAATCAATTGTGGAATGGGGAAGTCCTTGGGATTGGAGGTTATGGGGAGGATGTGGAAGAGTTGGTGGAGGAGGACAATGAAGAACTAACCACGATGAGCTGATAGATCAACTTAAAGAGCAAGAGGCCAGACCTGGGGAAACGGGTTTCAAAGGAGGGGAGAGAGAAATTGAAGGAATTGCTTACTTCAAAGATTAAGGAAATGTGTGCAAAATGGCTTGAAGTGCAAACCTTTTTTGATGAAAATCACCCTCACACAGCTATTGCAAGCCGTGCTGGTGACGTTACAATGACACTGTTGTGAACCATTTTTAGACAAATCATAAAGGAACGAGAGTACAGGCCACTAGGGACAGATATGT